GTGGGGTTTTTGGGGTTTGGGTTTTTGTTGTTTGTTGTGTGTGTTTTGCTGTTCTCCCTTCTACCCTTCCTTAGAATTGCAAACTCTATGATTTCACGATCACTTTCACCCAGGCTGCCTTCTACTTTCAAATTCTCAACGAGATCCTCCCTATTTGTTAAAATCAAGTCTAGAACAGCTTCCCCCCTAGTAGCTTTTTCAACCTTCTGAAATAAAAAGTTGTCTCCAGTGCAGTCCAAGAATTTGTTGGATAGTCTGTGCCCCGCTGTGTTATTTTCCCAACATATATCCGGATAGTTGAAGTCCCCCATCACCACCAAATCTTGGGCTTTGGATGATTTTGTTAGTTGCTTGAAAAAAGCCTCATCCACCTCTTCCCCCTGGTTAGGTGGCCTGTAGTAGACTCCTAGCATGACATCTCCCTTGTTTTTTGCCCCTTTAAGCCTAACCCAGAGACTCTCAACACTTCTGTCTCCTATGTCCATCTCTACCTCAGGGGTATGTATGGACAGACAGATGTGCATTGAGGCATGGCGAGAGAGACAAGAGGGGAGCAGATACTCAGATAATGGAGGGGGACAGAGGAGAGCATGGGTAGATGGGGAAGGAATAGAGAAGGGGGTTGCTCTGGAGCAGGACCAGAGAGATAAATGACAGACAGGGATGCTTCCGTGGGTGCTGTTTTGGGGTGGGGAGCATCCTGCAGGGCCCATATAAGGCCTCACCTCCCTGTAGACCCAGGGGAACAGATCAGACCAATGGGCCCATCTACCCTGGTATTCCGTTGCCAACAGCGACCAGTCCCAGCTGCATTAGAGTAGGTGCAGGACACCACCTGATAGCCAATGAAGGAATGATGTGCTACAGGGGAAACTGCTGATTGACCTCATGCCAGGAGGGATGGGTCTCAGGGGGATCACATGCCTGGGGGTCTCCAGCTCCTCCTACCATGTCCATTACCACTTTGCTAAGGCGATCTAGGGGTGGATGGTCCTATTTTAACCCATTGTGGTTGGGACAGTATTGGGGTGTGGGCAGGGCCGGCTCCAGGCACCAGCTTACCAAGCAAGTGCTTGGGGTGGCCGCTCCGGAGAGGGGCGGCACGTCCAGCTGTTTGGCGGCAATTCGGCGGACGGTCCCTCACTCCTGCTCGGAGCGAAGGACCTCCTGCCGAATTGCTGCGGCAGATCGCAATTGCAGCTTTTTTTGTTTTTGTTTGGCTGCTTGGGGCGGCCAAAACCCTGGAGCCGGCCCTGTGTGGGAGAGATTGAGGGAGGGTGAGATTCATCTGCATTAACCTGTAACAGACAGGAGACCCTCCGAAAGCTGGGAATAGAACCCAGAAGTACTGGCTCCCAGCCCCCCCTCTAACCCACTAAACCCCACTCCTCTCCCAGAGTTGGGAATAGATCCCCTAGACCCCTCTCCCCTCCCAGAGCTGGGGTAGAACCCAGGAATCCTGGCTCCCTGTTGCCTTGGGAATCCCAATTCCCCATCAGTGCTGCCTCCCCCCATCCCCATACTCAGTGGGTCTCCTGGTCTGCCCACCTCTGCTCTCCCCAGGCTCCCCAATTCCTGGGGCAAAGGTGACCCCAAGCCCCCCACTCCGTCTCCCCTGATTAACTCCCTTGTGTTTCAGCCATGGCGACAAGGAGGATGCTGCTGCTCTGGGCCGGGCTGGCGCTGCTGGCGGGTGAGTGGGGATCCAACCCAGGGCCAGGGGAGTTCAGGGTGAGGGAGGGTCCCGGGGGCGGAGCAGGGCATGGGGTTACTAGAGCTGGGAGTGGGGCAGTAAAGAGCATCCAGGGGCTGTGACCTAGGCAAGGGGGGAACCACAGGGCAGGGAGGGACGGAAAATTCTCCAATCACCCTGGGTAAATCGGAAGTGGCTCCACTGGGGTCAGTGGGGCTGATCCCTTTCACACACACCGGTGTAAATCAGGAGTGACTTCACTGGGGTAAATGAGGCTGATTCACCTCTTGCTCACCCCAGTATAAATCTGGAGTAACCCCACTGGAGTCGATGGGTCAGATTTTTCTCTCTATGTAAACTCAAGCTCACTGCTGGGCCAGCCCCCTGAGCCAACCTCCCCGGTGCCCAGCATAGCTGGGGTCCTAGGGGTGCTGCTCCAGATGGGCACAGTTCACACAGCCTTGGGGCTGCTTTAACATTTGCAAACTGCTCCTGCTCCAAGGGGTGGGTGGCTGGGACCACGCCCCCTTGCCTTAGCCACACCCCCATGTTGAGGAAGGGGTGTGGCATAACTTCAGCTACTGCCACACTCTACTGGGGCATCACCCCTCTGCCCACCCCGGCTGGGGCCATGCCCCAGGTGTGCAAAGTTCAAGTGGCTTTAGTTTGCACACTCAGAGGGCGCATCACACTCACTTTTCACATGCAATAGGGGGAGGGGGAGCTGCACAGAGCTCATCAGTGTGTGTGTGTGTGCTCGTGCACGTGTGAGCATGTATGCTATCATAGATATGTATGTCAGTGTGCGTAGGTCTCCGTGTTTGTGTGTGTCAGCATGTGTCTGTGTGTGTTTGTGTATGTCAGTGTGTCTGTGTGTGTCAATGTGTGTGTACATCTGCGTGTTTGTGTGTGTATGTGTGTCAGTGTGTGAGTCAGCATGTGTCTCTGTGTGTCAGTGTGACTGGATTTTTATGCATGGCAGTGTGTGTGTGTGTGTGTGTGTGTATGTCAGCATCTCTGTACATATGTCAGTGTATGTTTCTCTGGGTGCATCAGTGTGTGTGTGTGTACGTTAGTGTGTGCACATCAGCATGTGTGTATGTGTGTTAGCATATGTCTGTGTGTCTGTGTTTGTGTGTGTCAGCGTGTGTGCATGTCAGTGTGCATGGGTGGTTTAGCTCTTCCCCTCTGCCCTGCCCCTCCTGCAGCCTGGTTGCCTCCAAGCTGGGGAAGGGGCTGCGAATACAGCTGAGGATGGGCACAGAGCAAGGGTCTGCTGGCCACGCCCCACTTCAATTTGACCACACCCCCTTTCCTCTTTGGCCACCCCTTTCCTCTCAGAACTCACCCCTTTGCCTGCTGGTCACTCTTGCATTTCCTCTGACCACACCCCTTCTTCTGCTGACCATGCCCCTTTCCCCTCTGACCACACCCTTTCCCCTGGTCACTCTTGAATTTCTTGTGACCACACCCCTTTCCCTCTGACCACACCCCTTCCCTCTGACCACGCCTATTTCCCCTTTTTGCCACGCTCTTTCTTCCTCTGGCCATGCCTTTCCCACCTGGACACACCTGCCATTCGACCATGCCTGTTCCCCTCTGGCCATGCCTTTTCCCCGACACTCAGCCTCACTTGCCCACAGGGGTGCTAGTGGCAGGGAGGGGCATGGGGGTCCCGCCCCAGACCTGGTTACTCCAGATTTAGGGGTGTTTCCTCCCAAGGTTAAGCTGGGCTTTGAGGCTCACAAGAGTGGCGAAGGACCTGGGAGCCAGGTCTCCTGGGTTCCATCCCCAGCTCAGGGAGATGTTTTAGTGGTTAGAGCCAGGAGTATCTGTGTAAGCAGGGGAATGATCCCGCTATTGTGGGAAACTTTCCTGGCTTATACACTACCCTGGTGAAATGGGCTACTGAAAGGATCTGAGTCCTCGCTCCCTCTCCCTTTACCCAGAGGCCTGCCTGACCTCAGGGGCTCCCCTTCCATCACAACCAGCGTCTCTGGGATGTCAGGGAAGTTTGGTCTGTTCCTCACACATCCCAGGCCCCTGCCCAGGCCCTGGCTGCGCTGCAGGGATGCTGCGGGTCAGACACTTGCTCTGGCGGTGGTCCCACGCTCTCAGGCTCTAGGTGGCAGGACCCTTCTTCCCAGCGTCACCCCCGCACTGTCAGGGTGACAATCCCCCTCCGAGTCTGGCCTGCAAGGCCTCTTGGTTGGGGGCATCTCCCTGCGCTGGGCCCACTGCCCAGGGTCCCCCTCACTCTCCCCAGCTGCTCACCGCACCCGGCTCCGGACTGCTCCAGCCCCAGCTCAGCCCCAACTTCACTCTGCCTCAGCACGGCTGCTGCTGCTCTGCCTCCAGCTCCCTGGGCTGTTTCTCTGGCCCCTGTGGCTCTGGTTGCTACAGCTCTGCCCATCCCAGCGCAGGTCTGCTCCCCGGGACGCTTCTGTGGCCCTATTCCCAGCTCTGACCTGCTTCCTGGGCTGCTTCTCTGGCCGGCGTGGCTCAGCTCCGTTCGGGCCCCTGCTCTCTCCTTAGCTCGGCCCCACCCTGTCTGACCCAGGCAATTCCAGCTCATGCGGAGGACGGGACCCCCCAGCCTCCTGACTACCTTATTAGTCTGGCTGCCCTGTCAATTTCAGGGTCCTGATTTCCCATTGACCCTTCCCCTTTATTTTAGTACTGGGAGCTAGCCAACCAAACCCACCCCACTGAGTTTTAGTAAGGGGACAACAGTAGGGTTACCATACGTCCGGATTTTCCCGGACATGTCCGGCTTTTTGGGATTTCCCCCCGGACCGGGTTTTGGAGCCCAAAAAGCCGGA